ATATATAGAATGAGGTGGAAATGTTTTATTAAAATTAACTAAAAAATTATAAGAAATTAATCACTCATCCTATTTCTATATTCATATTTTTCTGTATATGCATGGGTGACTGTCTGTTTTCGCTTCTATAATATCTATATCTATATCTGTATATATAAAGTTGTTCAGCCGAATTAGTCCGTACTCGCATAACTAGAGAACTCCGCAGCCTAGAGGAAAATCTATATATATAAAGTTGTTCAGCCGAATTAGTCCGTACTCGCATAACTAGAGAACTCCGCAGCCTAGAGGAAAACTAAAGATATTTTCAGAATCAGCACGTCTGGGAGGTGGTTCTAGCTAAAACAAAAATTTTAAAAAGTTAAAAAGTTAAAAAAGTCTATTTATCAATAGATGGCGGTGCGTACAGATTAACATCACGTACGTGTGAATTCATGGTGTATACTCTTAACACCACTGAACAAGTTCTAACTTATAAACTCATGGCCGAAAAAGCTATATCCTCCAAAGATTACATGACACATATATTGATGATGGACATGTCAAAAGCTTTCGACACGATAGACAGGGCAACCATAATGCGGGATCTAGCAGAAATAATCAAACAAGATGAACTCCATATGATCAAAATGCTATTGGAAGATGTGAGACTTCAGGTTAGGGTAGGTGAGTCGTTGGGAGATCCTTTCCTCACCAACATGGGAGCACCGCAGGGCGACTGTTTCAGCCCAGTCATATTTATATGGTACTTAGCACGCAGTCTGACACCAAAGTCTAAACTAGAATTGAGAGACCACCAATACCCATCATCAACACCTGACACTACTCCATCACACCTTTGCGACCATAATTATAGAAAAATAAAGAACAACCTCAACGTAACCATCACACCACAGTATGCGGATGATATAGGCTGGTTCATCATAAAACCGTATCATCTTCCACAATACTACAAAGAAACAATACCACCACAGCTCAACAGCAGAAACCTTTCCTGTAACTCAGACAAAACCGTGGAGTATACAGTTAGAAGAGGGGGAAGCAATAATTGAAATAGTCTTGGAACTGAGGAAGACCTCATTGAAAGAAAACCAAAAGCTATATTAGCAATGAATGTTTGGGACAATATATGGCGCCGCCATCGTATACCTATCACAAATAAGTACCATCACTTCACAGCACTCATAGAGCCTGTATTCCTCTACAACTCCGAATTGTGGTCAATAACTAAAGATCTTGCTGGTAGAATTGACTGTTTCCAACGCCGCCTTCTAAGGAGGGCCATAAATATCCGATACTCTTAGAAAATTATTAGACTTTTTGGACACATCATGAGACTCTCCACAAACACTCCTGTGAAGAAGTCAAGCCAGTCGGTCGACCAATTACTACCTGGCTGACAGTGGCGTAGCCAGCAATTGGAAACAGGGGGGCCAAGGCGAGGGAGCGAAGCGACCAAGGGGGTAGGGTGTGGGAGGGGTATCCCCCCTCCCACGGTAGGGAGATTTTTGAAAATTCGTGCATGAAAATGGCATTTTCTGCACACTAAAGTTCAGTATTAGGGGTAACTTATATGAGAAGGGGCATATGCTAATCCCTTATAACCCCCCTCCCTCGCTTTTTATTTTTTTCACTCCGATCCGATCAACGTGGGACGATGGCCCCT